GAGCAGTTAGTTACAAATATATTGGGCGTGACCCCATCTTATTGAAAATAAGAGAATTTTCAACCGAAGTAAAAGATTTGCTGACAATTGAGGCAGAGGAGATCACGAACTATTTAGCTCTTCACACATCATTCTACACCAGACAACAGATGAAGGCAAAGTACAAATGTTTGGAGGCATAGAACTTTTTTTGTCAGTGGATGGATCTTCATCCTCGGTGCAAAAGGCCTATGTGATGATTATGGTTTGGTCTTGGCCGGGGTGAGTGTTTCTTTTATTTTATGTGTATAGACTGTTATGGGAAAAACTGCAGTGTATCGGCAGTGACCTCTATCTGAACTATTTAATGTCAACAAACGTTCGTTAGTTGTTTATGTTTAGGTAAACCACAAAAAACAATTTAGCTTTGTAACAAACCTTTGACGAAGAGGTCACTGCAAACACGAGCATTAGCGAATTCTGCTCCTCCCGACCGCAAACAAGTTTGTAATCCACTTTTTATGGCGTTGTTCTGTCGGCTTTTCCCATTTCTGACCTTTGTGGACGACTATAAACGGTAGTCTAAAAAAATCGCTTTTCCTTTCTTTTTCCTCTCGGTTAGAGCAACTGGCACAGCCATAAACTACACAACACATCAGCATTTTCCTCCTGTCAGTTCACTTCCTGCCCTCCATCTGATTTTGCGTGCTGACAAACGTAGCCCTGTGACGTCACGTGAAACCCTGCTATACAAGCATAATGAATTTCGGACTTTCGGTCATTGCGCAGTGCATAGTGGGAAGGATTTTCCGAAAAATGTAGTTAATATGGTTAAGTGAGATTCAGGAGCAGGACCACGCCTCAGCCGCCCTCTCCTCTCACCAGCGAAGATTGAGACGGAGCCCCCACCCATAGTCTCAACCCAACCATCTCTGCCTCGCTTCGTACATTATCAATTAACTTCTTCACACTATGTCGTCGTTGGCGTGGTCCTAGCTAGTGAAAGTGACCATCAAACCGCCATGTTTGTTTTCCCAGTGGGATGTGTCTATTGACAAAGTCAGTCTTTTCTGGTCTTTTGAACCATATCACTTTTGTTTCTGGTTCTGACATTGTCATATTTTAGTTTTGGGATTGGGACATCGTAATTGTGTGGTTGTTGGATCCGAACAGCGGAAAACGGCTTGGCTAGTAGTTGCTTGGTCATTATTAGAATTGGATCTGATGTTTTTCACCCGCATAATAGGTGTGATGATGTTCTTAATTTTCATTTAATTGGTCTTAAAAAGGTCTTTATAAAGTCTTAAATTTGGGGTAGTCAAACCTGGGGATACCCTGAAATGTGATTTTTCTTACAAGCATTGTGATTGCCATTAGCTGTGTGGTTTATGTTTTTAATATTAAATATAAATATTCCCCTTTTTAAACACGTCCAGAAGAATTTACAAAAAGACAATATGAACTAAAACCTTGTGCAGCAAGATGGATTCTCGCAATATTTGTAAGTTTAGAAACTCACGAGAATCCATCATGAGGTGTTCCCGCTGTACGCCCTGCAGTGGTCGGTCCAATCACAGGGCTTCTATGGCTGGGGGAGGAGTTTCAGGCAACATGAGCACAGCCCCAAGCTCCAGGAATGTACCATAGACTTTATATATCTTATTATATATACAGTCTATGTTCTACATGGAGCAAAACAAACATGGTGGCATCGGCGGACAGTGATGGTGACTTATACACTCTTAATACACACATTTGTAGCACAAAAATGGCAGGATTGGTTTATGGACATTTTCCCTCTCCAGCATGACACTAGTTTTGGTTTTACCTGGCACAGGTCGGATACGTCATTTTGACAGGTTTGCTGTGATTGGATAAAAAGAAACTCTGGTGGGTGGGCACTCCAGGTCGCTGGTCAGCTCGAGGCATTTTGCTGCAAGTCCCTCCTTTTTCTAAATGCTTTTAGCAAGAGCCATTCCAGATGGATAATGTGTAGAACTCAATTCAGAGTGAAACACAGATCAATCTGGCATAAGCTAGATCACATTAAAGAACATGGGTTAGCGGTTAGCAGTTTTTATCCAGAATATTTTGGTACTTGAAAAATTGCAGCCGTTGTGAATTGCTAATTGCACTGATCTAAAATGCGATTAAATTGTGATGAATCATTCTCCAAACAGCTCCTTGTATTAGTTTTCTTTTGTTTTTGCTGCTCATTGACCTGCCTGTGCTCAGAGTTCACGGCCCCTTCACTGTTCCTCGTGTAGAACGTGTTGAATGGTCATTGTTTCGATTGAGCGTCAAACTGGGAATAAACACAATCTGAGCGTTCCTCTGTCACCTCCGAAACAAAGCTCCACTTTAACCTGCTCCTCTGAGATCTCCAGTGTGAGAGCTGTGCTAACCTGTACTCTGCTCTGTGCACAGTGTTGAGTGAAGGAGAACACTGGGGCTGGACACCTCTGTGTTTACACTGGTATCAAATTAAAGCTCCTACATTACACAACATGGACTCTTGTAAGCTTTAGGACGTGTTATAATGCTGTACCTCATAAAAACATACCTGAAAACACAACTCCAGGTCTGTTTTTGATGAGGGAACAACATTAGAACATAGATTAGGGTGACCAAACGTCCAGTTTTTTGCGTCCTGTTTTGGGCGTCCATGTTTTGTTTTTTTTGTTTTTTTTCTTAAGGGATGGAAATGTCTTGGTTTTCATTACCATTCATTGGGGCCATTAAACTGAGCAGCTCTTGTAGCTCTCTGTAACTCAGAAGGAGCGAGCAAACAGTCGGTCAGTCTGCAACATGCCTAAGCGCAAATGTGCTTTAACAATGACTTGTACAAGAGATATTCCGTTTTCCGTCCCGGCTGGGACAAGTGGAAGGCCATGTGCACAAGGTGAGAGTACAGTGATCCCTCGTTTAGCGCAGTACAACGCCGCAGTACAACGCCGCAGTACAACGCCGCAGTACAACGCCGCAGTACAACGCCGCAGTACAACGCCGCAGTACAACGCCGCAGTACAACGCCGCAGTACAACGCCGCAGTACAAGATTAGTCCTGGTTTAGACCTGGTTTAGTCCTGACCCACCCGTGTGTAATTACTACCCACCCGTAATACGCATTACGCCTTCATACGCCGTTAAGAAAAAAAAAAAAAGCATGCAAAATTACAATGAAAAAAAAAAATCTGCGAGACTGCGAAAGGTGAACCGCGATATAGCTGTAAGGTGTCCGGGTTTTCACCCTAACATAGATCAGAAAATAACGTACTATGGGCCCTTTAATATTAGGGTTAAATAGACAACTTGTTTCACTGTGTTCTACTGCTACTACTACTTACTACTTTGAAATGTGTGCGTGGGATGATGTAATGGCTGTAGATATGGGAGGTCCCGGTTTAAGTAGAGCTCTGTTATCGCTGCGTCAGGCCTGCTCTGTGCCTTTAGATATGACCTCACTCAGACCTGAGCAGACGCACAAAGATAATCACGCGCTTTGAAACTCCACAGATACAAGCGTGTGAGATATGAGGCTTATCAGAGGCGGGAGACATGACGTACGCCAACAACCACTAAGACTTTCTGGTCAAATGTGTCTTTTTATGTTGTATAGGGATTAGGGTTATCACGGTACTAACATTTCAAACTCAATTTCGATAATAAGGAGCAGACTCGATACTCGATACTGATTCTGATACCACAATGATGATTTTTTTTTAGGCAAAAGGACGATAGAATGTGATTTTCAACTTTAAATTCTAGAACTTTTTCTTTTCCCATGTGGTCTTATCTGGTCAACATCAGCTGAACATTACTGATTGGTAAAGTATTAATAAACGCTGGTAGAAAAACTTATTATATCGTGTACACTGCAGTGTAGAACAATTGGTAATTTGTTAAAAAAAACAAAAAAAACAAAAACGCCAAATCAATCTAAAAACCACTTGGGCGACATATACAAGGCCCACACATCACTCTTAGAAGGTAAAAAGCTCTGAAAAGTTGATTTTGCATGAGATGGGCCCTTTAAAAGCCTTGACTTTTGGCAATATTAGTGTCATAGTCCAAAGAATTAAGATAGAAAAGTTCTTTATAATAGTTCTTTCATCATGTTTTCTGCATTGAAATGGAATAAAAGATCACGATCTATGAAGCTTTTAGTGGTTGCTTAAATAATACATTTAAGCAAAATAGCCTATAATTCCATATATTGTGACAGCCCACCATATTATTGCAAGAACTTTGAAGATACTTTACCACGATATTTTGGTTATTGTTACGTCCTTAGTTAAGAGTTGAGCATTACTGATGAAAATCTCAAATATTTAGTTTGACATATGACCCATTGCATTTTTTAAATTTCAAGATGTATATTTTTTGTAGTCTCTTTATAAATGCCCTTGTTGTTTGCCTGTTCTTTTTTATTTATTTTCCCAATAATAATTTGAATACAGTAAAACTTTTTGGCTACTATTCTCACTAAAATTTTGCACTATTGCCATAGAATATATCTATATTTTTGTGGTGAATTGCTATGTTTTGAATGTGAAAAGTGACGGACTGTGTATGAAAGACTGTGAAAAGTCTCAAAATGGTGCTGATAAACAGAAATCAGAAACCTGAGTAAATGACAAAAAACTCATGTTTTCTTTTTTTTTTTTTGGTTAACCTGTTATTATACTATAAATTATGATGTATTAAGTTATTTTGTTTGTTTGTTTATTTTCATGCCTGACAGTTTCAACTCCTCACTAGTGGTCTTGGGCTATAAATTCTTGTTTTGTTGGTCTATTCTTTCAAAATGGCTCTACATGTGCATTTCTTTTACATCTTTGTGTGTCTTATGTAATTATTTTTGTTGACTGTGATTAATACCAACTGCATTTTGTGGTTTCTCTCCCCTCCTCTGCACTTGTCCCCTCACTCCAGCTCCCTCATTTGACCCCACTGCCTGCCCCCTCCTCCCCTCACTGTGCGCCCTTTGACCTTTGCACTCTGACCTGTGTGTGTTATAGGGTTTGCACGATGAGTTTGAGAACTACTACAGGAAGCAGCGGAGGAAACAGGCCCGCCTCGTGCTACAGCCTCACTCTAACATGGTATGCTCCCGTAAAGCTGCACTGCCGAACGTGTCTAGTGAAGGGTCCGCCACCTCATGTCTCCGTGGAAATGTTACTGCTTTGTCTAGAATGTTCCACAGTATAGATTAAACCTACATTACAGGTCAGATCTGTGGAGGTGAGGCGGCCCTAGACGGAAATGCAGGTAGCGGACCCTCCTCCTGAAAAGTTGCGCAGTGGCCCTTTAACACATCACTACATCACTGTTCACGGTTTTATTCACTACCTGTTTAACCACGCACACACACACCTAAAATATGAATTTACATAAAGTTGAGGATCACAGGGTACCTCCCAATTTATACTTTCACGCTTGGTGGGTAGGTTCTACATGTATGTCTATGTTGGGATGTTCAGCAGTCGCCATGGTTATACAAAACACAGCTTGATAAGTTTGAAGATTGTCTGAAAACTCAAGAAAACGGACAAAATCAGCCCACCTGTCATAGTTCCAGCGAAGTTAGTTCTTTATATTCAGATTGCGGTTAAAAAAAGCACAGATTGAAGTTTAATTTGAGGAACAGAGCTTCAGACGGAGCAGTACCTCTAGTTAGCTTCAGCAGCAACCTCGCATTAATACAGTGAAGACATACTGTGTGCCAATGAGATAGTGAGACACCAGTTTTTTCAATATATTTTCACTGATTAAAAAAAAAATACCATAAATATGACATAAAAAGTACTATAATTAGGCTTTTATTTTACTGTCTTTCTTCTCCCATCAGCATGAGACACTGGATGGATACAGACGGTACTTCAATCAGATTGTGGGGTACGTTGAACATTTAAATTTAAATGCTGTTTGAATGTTACGCACGATTTCATGTTTTATACTTTGAATTACATTAGCTCCAAATAAATACATCTGATTTTATTTCAAGACAGTTACTTTTACACTTACTTCTACAATGTGAATAAACAATATATCTTAGTACTTTATTTTCTATTCCCATGTGGCCTTAAAGGGCGCCACACACTACAGGATTTTTGAATGATTCTTAAACATGTGACAAAAAGCGCACACCACAAACACAAGGAGAATCTTATGAGACTTCAAATCTCCGATCGCAAAGACTACAGCGGGATATGTCTGCAGACCACAGGCTATAAAGTTGAGAGTGCGATCGTGTCTGCTGTTTCCTGTCTACAGTAAAACCACTCGCTTTGACACTCTGAAATGTTCAAAAGATCAGAGTACTGCACTTCTAGTTTAAATACAAGTCAAAACTATATTATTATTATCTGTGAAATGTGGTGCAAAACTTCAGATACACGATTTTTAAAGCATAAAAGTTTGGCAACAAAGTACACACACAAGAAGCACAGCAGCTTCAAAATCACACACGAAGACACAAAGTCGGGTCACACCTCCTTGATCCTCGGGGAGCAGCAAATCTATGAGGTAAGAAAGCTTCCAGAAATATTCGTGTGTATAGGATTGAAATCCGTGAGTATTTGGGAAATCTGTGCATATTTCGCTGCAGTCGAGTATAAAATATTCATAAACTCTTTAATAAATCCAGTCGTAAATAAAATATATTGTGTGTATTTTATCCATTAGAATATGAATTGTAAAGTTACGACATCAGAAATTACAATCACAAAGTTACGCTTTCTTCACTACGAACACCAATTTTACAGATGCAACCTGGTTTAGTCCTGGTTTAGTCCTGTTTCGGTCCTGTTTCGGTCCTGGTTCGGTCCTGGTTCGGTCCTGGTTCGGTCCTGGTTCAGTCCTGGTTTAGTCCTGGTTTAGTCCTGGTTTAGTCCTGGTTCAGTCCTGGTTCAGTCCTGGTTTAGTCCTGGTTTAGTCCTGGTTCAGTCCTGGTTAGTCCTGGTTTAGTCCTGGTTCAGTCCTGGTTTAGTCCTGGTTAGTCCTGTTCAGTCCTGGTTCAGTCCTGGTTCAGTCCTGGTTCAGTCCTGGTTTAGTCCTGGTTCAGTCCTGGTTCAGTCCTGGTTCAGTCCTGGTTCAGTCCTGGTTCAGGTCAGTCCTGGTTAGTCCTGGTTTAGTCCTGGTTCAGTCCTGGTTTAGTCCTGGTTTAGTCCTGGTTCAGTCCTGGTTCAGTCAGTCCTGGTTGGTTTAGTCCTGGTTTAGTCCTGGTTCCGTCCTGGTTCAGTCCTGTTCAGTCCTGGTTCCTGTTTAGTCCTGGTTCAGTCCTGGTTCAGTCCTGGTTTAGTCCTGGTTCAGTCCTGGTTCAGTCCTGGTTTAGTCCTGGTTCAGTCCTGGTTCAGTCCTGGTTCAGTCCGCATGTGGCGCAGAAGTGCAGCATCTCAACTGATGTTTCTTCTGCTCAATAAATAATGCCTGTGAAGTGATGATGTTTTTTGACCGTGAAGTCACGTCTGTGAGTTTGTATTTGTACTGAAAGCGTCATTGTAAATTTTGATTTAATGATTATAATTCTTGATGTCGTAACTTTTCAAGTCATACTCTGATGGACACAATATATTTTACGTACGACTGGACTCGTTCGAGAGTTTATGAATATTTATTTTCTGTGCAACTACAGCCAAATATGCCCGGATTTTCCAAATATGCATGGATTTCTATCCTATGCACACATATATTTCCGAAAGCTTTCTTGCTCCATACAAATTGCAGCCAAAATTGGGCAAATTCTCCAGTAGTGTGTGGCGGCCTTAAGTCGTTCAGGTAGGTTCCATAGTGGTCCATGGGCATATATTAGTCTATGTGCTCTTATACTTGTTCTCACACAGCTGAAGGTCATTCTAAAGCTATTCAGGAAAGATTCTTTTTTTTTTTAGTATCGATACCTGCTCAAATGAGGATCTAATTTCAACACGTGTTGATTAATACCTGTTTTTTGATACTTTTGGCCACTTTTGGCAGTCCTCTTACTTGAGTACCACTTCAGTCTGCTCCACCCGCCTGTGCCCACTTTCTATGAACTTTCTCCACGCACTCCTCCTTTCCTCCCTCAGTCCGCACGTCATCCCAAACCTCTCTGTCTGTTTCCCATCTCCTGTTCCGACCCATCTCTCCATTGTTAGACCACTGTGTTCCTTGGCAGCTCCGGAGCCCACTGAAGCAGGAATATTTTAACATTTTAGTGACAGCTCGTTTCATAGCGCTTGACTGGCTCCCGACCGATTCCCAGTGCCCGCTTTTGGCCGCTCTCTTTCCGCCATCCATCACTCCCCCAAAAAACCTCGCCTCCGCGCTGTTTTTTTTTTAGTGTCTGTCCAGTTTTCGCAGGCGATTTACCGAGAGTAGCTCCAAACTGGACGCGTATGAGGCCTGTGCTTTCATTCAAACTAATTACAAGTTAAATGTGTGCCCTTTGACTTGAGGATTTCCAGTTCTAACTTTGTATCCTTGGGCAAGACACCCCATCCACCACCTACTATGGTTACTGTAATGAGGCATACGAAAATAATTGTGCTCTTTTATATTAGACTGAGCTCTGGTTCATTCAGTCCAAGGCATTTGAAAATATGTAATTCGTGACCAGCGTTGTCAAAAGTATCAAAAATCAAATCTTAATCGATACTAAGCAGACATCTGTACTGAAAAAAAAATTCACAGGACAGAAATGAACCTTTCCTGAATAGCTTTAGAATGAAGAAGAAGAAAAGAGTATCTACAATGTTCAAAGTAGTAAACAAAGAAAAAAAAAACAGAATGGATGAGAAGGTGTGTCCAAACGTTTGACTTTTAGTGTGTATATATTTTTAAGAAACTGAACTGATGTGACTAAACTTGGCCGGTTCTTGCTTGTTTCCTACAGGTTCTTTGTGGTGGAGGACCATGTTCTTCACACCACTCAGGGCCTGGTGAACCGCGCGTATGTGGAGGAGCTCTGGGAACTGGCTCTGTCCAAAATCACCGCAGCGCTGAGAACTCACTCGGTAAAAATTAAACTAATGTATACAGTGTGAATACTTTGCTCCATCAGGCCTTCTCCTCTGCTCCATCAGGCCTTCTCCTCTGCTCCACCTGATGTTCTCTTCTTCATCCTCTGCTCCATCTGACCCTCTCCGCTGCTTCTCTGACCCTCTCGGCTGCTTCTCTGACCCTCTTCGCTGCTTCTCTGATCCTCTCCTCTTCATCCTCTGCTCCTCTGACTTTCTCCTCTGCTTCTCTGACCCTCTGCTCTTCGTACTCTGCTCCATCTGACCCTCTTCTGTTCATCCTGTGCATCCTCTGACCCTCTGCTCCTCTTCTCTTTATCCTCTGCTCCATCTGACCTTCTCTGCTCCATCTGACCCTCTCCTCTGCTTCTCTGACCCTCTCCTCTTAATTCTCTGCTCCATCTGACCTTCTCCTCTGCTCCATCTGACCCTCTTCTTTCCATCCTCTGCTCCTCTTCACTTCATCCTCTGCTTCTCTGCTCCATCTGACCCTCTCCTCTTCCTCCTCTGCTCCTCTTACCTTCTCCTCTGCTCCATTTAATGTTCTCTTCTTCATACTCTGCGCCATCTGACCCTCTCCTCTGCTTCTCTGACCCTCTCCTCTTAATTCTTTGCTCTATCTGACCTTCTCCTCCGCATCCTTTTCTCCACTACATCCACAAATCTTTACTCTTACAAAGTTACAAGTGCATTTTATCTTTTATTTCAGTCTTACTGTGACGACCCAGACCTGGTGCTGGACTTGAAAAACCTCATTGTGATCTTTGCTGATACTCTACAGGTAACTCTTGTTTTTAATACTTTCTCCTACACTTTTTCCCTAACTTTTAAAATATTTTTTTTAGGGTGCACTATGTCATTTTTTTCAATAGTGGATCTATCATCTGCTTGTTTCTACGGAGATGTAATTGCTATGCCTGGAATGTTCCACAGTGTGAATTTAAACTTATTTAGGCTCTGTGTTACATTTATTCAATTACACATGGTTTTATGGCTCAAAAATACCTAGATCAGACCTGTAACTTGGTCTGGACAGAAAGGTTTAATGCCATACTGTGAAACATTCCAGACAAATTTCCACAGAGAAAAGCAATTGATGGACCCTTCACCAGAAAACTTACCCAGTGCACCTTTTACCGTGTGGTTTTAGGGCTACGGCTTCCCGGTGTCTCAGCTGTTCGACATGCTTCTGGAGATGAGGGAGCAGTATTCAGAGATCCTGCTCAAACGCTGGAACATCACATTTAGGTGAAATTTTAAATCTTTTTTTTTAATAGAACTAGATCAAATGTATCGAAAATCAGATGCTAATCAATGTTAAAACTGGTATCAAAACTAGAGCAGGTATTGATACTAAAAAAGAAGGGAGACAGGGATTACACGGATATTAAACCACATGGGAATAGAAAAGAAAGTACTACTATTTAATAATGAAAATCACATTCTACTGTCTAAAGAGTGTTTTTTATTATCATAGTAGTATTGATTTCGATACTAAGGAATATTAAGTGCAGATTCTGCGTTTGAAATTTTGGTATCGTGACAGGACTAAATACTACTGCGTAATTATACAGAGCAGAATCAAAATTGAGCTAAAATTCAAAACTTGAATGAGCAGTTTGAGTATCTTTAATGGAGAGTCTACAGCCAATCGTCTGTCAGTAAGAGCATGCGGTTTGGAGCAGAGTTCAGACTGAGAAGAAAAATGAGTATTGACTGTTTTCCGTTACAATAGAATTAAAATCGGTCTTTTTTTTTTTTTCCATGGAACTTGATGACATCTTTGTATTAAAGTGGACCTATTCCTCACTGTGGACTTTTCAGAGCTTATAGTTGTTTCCTTCTCATTTACCCTCTGAAAGTTTGATTTAGAATGATTTGTGCATGTTTGAGTCGTCTTTCGTTTACAGTATTTTTCGGACTAAACACCACACATAAAATCCTTTAATTTTCTCAAAAATCAACAGTGCGCCTTATAATCTGGTGCACCTTATGTTTTAATTCTGGTTGTGCTGACTGACCTCGAATAAATTTTATGTGGTACACGGTGCTCAAAAATCTGTCAAAATGTTTTAGTACGACTTTGGTAAACTACGAAGCCACACCACTTGATGGATTGTTGTAGCATTACGTCTGCTGTAATCAGGAGCTTCGCAGACAAAATGAGTTGTGTCCTTTAGTCCGACAGAAACTGATGCATTGGTGCACAAGGGGCGAGCTGTTTTTTCAGCGCTTATAGTTTATGCAAATGAGCCATGTGGTTTTAAATTTTGTTTCTGTAAAACGTAAACAAATGTGCCAAAGCTGCATTAAACACATTATTACTTAATGTATATTTGAGTCGTCCTCGTAGGAAATAAAAAAAACAAACTTCACATTCATAATCCACATTCACCAAAACACGCCACGAATTTACGCCACGATCCGCGCAATCGTGGACGTCTGGGCTAAGTGTCAGTCTCAAGTGTTGTCCGTTTGTTTTGCTTAAGGCATCTTATAATCCAGTGCACCTTATGTATGAAAATAGACGAGAGAATTCACCATTATTGATGTTGCGCCTTACAATTTGCTGATCAGCTCCTGTTTTCAGCTCCACCAGTACACACCCACTGTGATGTACACACTTTCTTCTCCAATTTTATTTTCTTAATCAGTGATACACTAAGGATTGGGCAGCATCGCGTCATCAGTTTGGTTCAAACGTGAAAAAATGCTCTGCTCTAGTGTGATGTGCAGCTCTGCACACATCAGCGGCGCTTTGTTGTCATGACGTTTACAGTGACATCAGCTCCCGTTGGACACCACAGTTTTCTAACGTGGAAGTCAGAGCACTTGTTTCTTTTATTAAGTCTTTTTACATCAATATTGTAATTTAAAATATCCAAATTATAACAGAATTATTCACAGTTGTCATAAATTATAACTAAAGAGCACACACAAGCACTATATATCTGCTTTAATAATAAATAATAAATAATAACAATATAAAGATCGATTTAAAAAAAAATTCTGTGACAAATTTACAAATGTTACGTTATATCCTTATTTGAAAGATTTCACTGCACATTTCCTTTATTTAAATGTTGTTATTGTTGCCAGCATCATTTTTTCTTTGTTTTTATTGTTTTTGTTTGTGAATTTCTGTATATAATTTATTTCAGGATGATGTCTCTTATGTAAACTCTTTTGTTTTTTAAGCCTAAAAATGTAAGTATATAAAAAATTATAATAAATAAATAAAAATAAGTATAATAAGGTAAAATAAAATAAAAATAGAGCTCCTATCTTTAGCTGCAGCTCTTCTCAGACCCCGAGTGCCCATATATGATTTTAAAGTGTTAAAGTTCATAGAGTCTTTAACCCTCTCCCTTTAAACAAAGAGGAGCCCGGCCCTGCTCTGGACCTTGGACTGACCTCTTGTTGTTTTAAGTGTCCACTGTCTCCACCACTGACCTCTCTCTATCACAGTTCACTCTCCGTACCACCCCGCGCTTTCTTTGTGGGAAAAATGTCCGTTTTGAAGTTTTTTTCCCCCTTTAACGAGTGCCTGGAGAGAGAGGGCAGAGGAGGAAGCCGTGTCCTTCAAATCTCCATTGTTCGAACTGCGCAGAGTTTTTTACTGGAGTCGAGAGAATTACACCAGAGGGACCAAAGCCGAGAACAAACAGCTACTTCCTACACTCACACACGCAGCCGGGCAAGTCAGTCAGAGGCCACTGCTCGATTTAAAGATCTAATATTACACAAAATTGACTCTTGTGAGCTCTAAAATTGCTTTATGTAACTTTTCTGATGGAGGGTCTGCCACCTGCTTGTTTCTATGGATATGTAATTGCTCTGCTCTCAGCTCTACTGGACATTTATCCAATTACAGGTGGTTTTATAGCTCAAAAATATCTAGAAAAACAGGCATTCTGACTGTGAGCAGGGTGGCCTCTCCACAGATCTGACCTGTAACTTGATCTAGTTTGGTCTCCATGAAGATAGAAAGGTTTAACTCCATATTGTGATGCATTCAAGACGAAGCAATAACATCCCCATGGAGAAAAGCGTTTGACGGACCCTCCACCAGAAAAGTTACACAATTTTATAAGACTCACTGTGCGGGACTCTATTGTCCAACAGACTGATCAAGCGGCAAGTGAAGAACTACAACGTGAAACGAATAATGATAAAACAATAAATAACTTTTACTTACGTTTCCAACTTCTCCGTTCCTTTACTTTTCATGTTGTAGTTCTTCTTCTTCACCTGCCGCTTGATCTGTCCGTTGGAAAATATAGTCCCGTGGTCATTTCCGTTGTGGCTTTTTAATGTATTGTGGCTTTTTGTTGTGTTGTCGCATTTGTATTTGTTACAGCGTTTGCGTCTCGGCTTCCGTAAATTTTCCGTAATATAGGACCTTTAAATTTCCATTGACACACAGTGAAAAGTGTAAAACTAAAATATACAAAATTAAATTGTTCAAATTATTTCCGAACATTCAATATAACACTTTTTTTTTGTGAAACCAAGGTTCATTTGCACTGTGCAGATAAAAAAATAAAACAAAAAAGCACAATTTTGACTAGTTTAAGATCATGCAATCTCCCATGCGTTTATTTCGTCTGCCTCTGCCACTTTGAATTTTGTTTTCTTTGCAGTTCTAAAAATGTTATGTTAAATGTTATGTTTTATTTTTGTTACTTCCAGCTTACTGAAATCGTTTTGAAATGTTTGGTTTGTACAGACAGGCGTTGGACCAGGACAACTACAGCCCCATCCCGGTGTCCACAGAGGAGGAGTTCAGACATTACACCTCCCAGTTCCCCCTGCACGACCCTGAGCTGGAGAAGGTAACACACTCCAAATGTAAAAATAACACGAGTGGAGAAGCTAAAGACACATTCTGGTGTGTTTCCAAGTGAATCCAGAAACTATTTTTTGAGCAGACATTTTTATTATCCTTAAAAGGTGGTATATTACACAAAATTCACTCTTGTCTCGTGAGCTTTAAAGCTGTTACCTCATTAAAAGCATACCTGGAATTGTGTTTTGTTTCATTCACACGTGTTTGAGTAACCCTTTATTATTAGTCTGTCTACATCTCCAAAATGTTCTGTTCCATCTTGTAATCTCACACTAACTGCTGTCTGTTTTTTAAAGTCCATACACTTTCACCAGACTACTTTCAATCACTAGAATTTAAATATTTGTTGTACTATGCTGGAAATGGCCAATTAAATCTCTTAATATTAACGTGTCAATTTTTTTTTGCAGTTGCCGTTCCCAAAGAAGCTGCCGTTTTCCGAGTTTGTGCCTAAAGTTTACTGTCAGCTCAAAGAGTTCATCTACGCATGTCTCAAGTACTCAGAGGATCTGCATCTCAGGTATAGAAAATAACACAAAGTAAGTAAATAAGTTTTATTTATATAGCGCTTTTCACAGACATAGGTCACAAAGTGCTTCACATGTAAAAGATAAAAACCAGGATAAGATATGTTCATAAGTGAAATTTAAATGAGCAAAAAATTGAAAGAGACATTCTTGTGTGTTTCCAAGTGAATCAAGAAACAATTAACATATTGAGCGAACATTTTTATTATTCTTAAGGGTCCTAAATTACACAAAATTGGCTCTTGTGAGATTTTAAGACATGCTATAATCCTGTTATCTCCTCAAAAACATACCTGGAGTTGTGCTCTATGATTATTAATGCAGGGTTAGTCAAACATGTGAATGAAACAAAACACAACTCCAGGTCTGTTCTTGTTTACTTAAGTTATATACCATATTTTCTGCACTATAGGACGCTCTGGATTATAAGCTGCACTGTCACTGAATGGTCTATTTTTAAACTTTTTTCACATATAAACCGCACTGGACTATAAGGCACATTAAACGAAACACAACAGTTAGATAAGTCAGTCAAACTTTATTTAACGCGTTCACAATAACTCTCAACTTTGTTCAATTGTAACTCGTAAAAAAATACGGTCTGAGACGCTAAATTTTTCGTGTATTCACAATAACTCATAATAGTTCAAACAGTTGGGTGATTACAGCGTCCAGCACGTCCACATCCCTCTCGTCATTATCTGAGTCAGTGTGGTTACTGTTCCTTGCAGTTCAGTGATGATTCTGGTCTTGGTGAAAGCTCGGACCACAGTTGATACTGATCCTTAGTCCAGGCGTCCACGATCCATTGGCAGATCGTGGTGTAAGTGGCTCGGCGCTGTCTCTCTGTCTTGGTGAATGTGTGTTCTCCTTCTCTCATACACTCGCACTTTCACTTTATAATAGTCTTGAGTTTAAAGTGGGCGTTGTAAGTGTGTCTCTTGACAGGTGCATTTTGATATTAAAAGGAATCACAGTATGTATTACTCCTGATGCTCTTGACTACAGGAGCCGTAATGCTGCAAGTGGTGCGGCTTTGTAGTTTACTAAAGTCGTATTAAGACACCCCAATAAATTCATATATAAGGCGCTCTGGATTATAAGGTGCACAGTCGTTTTTGGATGAAATTAAAGGCTTTTAAGTGTGTCCTATAGTGCGGAAAATACAGTAATGATAACATAGATTAGAAAATGGCGCATGTATCATCACCTTGAAGTTACAAAGTACAATAATATCAAGTTTCTGAAGTCCAGATGCAAGACCTGCCCCAACTTAACCTTTCACCTTTGACCTTTCAATTTGCTGTTGGATTTTCATGTTGCCCTTTTACTGCTACCACCCACAGCTTCACACATTTAACTGGTTTCATTCAGTTGTTGTTTATTTTTCATTTTGATTTAATCCCAAGACTAAAATGTCCAAAAGCAGTTCAAGAATCCTGAAGAATGCACGACTCTTGACCTTTTAAACTATTGTAATTGTCCTGTAAATGTGGAAAACGGAGGCTGGTGTCTTTAGGAGGTTTTGTTTTGAAAGTGTCCCGGGTTTGGTTTAGTCTCGAGGTGAAGTCAAATGGAGGAAATACCAGAGTAAGTGCCTAAAGTGTAGAGCACTAGCACCTGTCTGAGCCTACGTGACCACGGAGAGACGGAGAGAGAGAGAGACAGAGAGAGAGAGAGAGAGAGAGAGAGAGAGAGAGAGAGAGAGAGACTGAGACAGAGAGAGGCGAGGAGACAGGGAGAGACAGAGAGAGAGAGAGAGAGACTGAGACAGAGAGAGACAGAGAGAAACAGGGAGAGACAGGCGAGGAGACAGGGAGAGACAGAGACGGAGACAGACAGAAAAAGAGAGATGGAGAGAGAAACACAGAGGTGGTGAGACAGGCAGAGAGACAGAGAGAGTGAGAAAGAGAGAGAGATGGAGAGACGGGCAGAGAGAGAGCACCTGTCTGAGCCCATGTGACCACAGAGAGAGAGAGAGACTGAAAGACAGAGAGGCAGGAAGACAGGCAGAGAAAGCACTTGTCTGAGGCTATGTGACCACAGAGAGACAGAGAGAGAGAGAGGGAGAGACGGAAAGAGAAAGAGAGATGGAGAGACAGACGGAGAGAGAACAATGGAGAGAGAAACACAGAGACTGTGAGACGGGCAGAGAAACACAAAGAGAGAGAGAGAGAGATGGAGAGACAGGCAGAGAGGGCACCTGTCTGAGCCTATGTGACCACGGAGAGAGAGAGAGACAGAGACAGAAAGAGAGAAAGAGAGAGAGAGAGATGGAGAGAGAGACAGGCAGAGATGGAGAGAGAAACACAGAGAGGCAGTGAGATGGACAGCGAAAGAGAGAAAAGGAGAGAGATGGAGAGACAGGCAGAGAGAGCACCTGTCTGAGCCTACGTGACCAGAGAGAGAGAGAGACTGAGAGAGACAGGCAGAGAAGGATTGAGAGATAGAGAGAGGATCTGTTTGAGCCCATGTGACCACTGAGAGAGAGAGAGAGAGAGACGGAGAGATGGAGAGACAGGCAGAGAGGGCACCTGTCTGAGACTATGTAACCACTGAGAGAGAGAGGAAGAGAGACGGAGAGACAAACAGAGAGAGCACCTGTCTCAGCCTGTGTGACCACTGCACGCTCCTCTCCAGTGGACAGACAGAGAGAAAAAGAGCGAGAAAGAGAGACAAACACAGAGAGACAGATAGAGGGACAGAGCGAGGGACTGACAGAGACACTAGTCCCTGTCTGAGCCTATGTGATGAGAGAGAGAGAGAGAAATGGACAGAGGAACAGAGGGAGAAAGAGAGGAGAGAGACACAGACAGGGAGAGACAGAGACAGAGAGAACGAGAGAGACAGAGAAAGAGAGAGAGAGAGAGAGACAGACAGAGACGGTGTGAGAGACAGACAAGGAGACGGTGTGAGAGAGAAACGGAGAACGAGACAGAGAAAGAGAGACAAAGAGTGGGAGAGACAGAAAGACAGGCAGACAGAGACCAAGAGAGAGACAAAGACTTTGTCCCCGTCTTTCTCTCTGTCTCATTCTCTGTTTCTCTCTCTAACAATCACACAGAGAGACAACAGAGAGACAGAGACAGAGAGAAAAGGAGCCAAAGAGTGGGAGAGAGAAACTGAGAGAGAGACATAGAGAGAGAGAGACAAAGAGACAGTGTGAGAAAGAAACGGAGAACGAGACAGAGAAAGAGACACAAAGAGAGACGGAGAAAGAGACAGAGAGAAAAGGAGTCAAAGAGTGAGAGAGATGGAGAGAGAGACCAGAAGCTCAGGTCTGTAATTAACCGTGAACTTTTAAAGGGAGCTATTATGCGAAATTGAACTGTCTCCTCCCATCACAAACATAACTACAGTTTACCTTTATTTCACATTCACTAAAGTCTAAAGTTTGGACACACCGTCTCATTTTCTCATCTTTTCAAGCTTTGTTTTCCTTGAAGTTTGGAGATGTAGACAGACTAATAATAAAGGATGTGTGAATGAAACAAAACACAACTTCAGTTATGTTTTTAAGGAGGCAACAACAGTGTAACATGGCTTAAATCTCACAAACCTCGATTTTTCCGTGATATTGGACCTTTAAATAAATATAAGATCTGGTTTTCTGATTTAAATATTTTTACAATTCAAAGCTTTTTAAAATACTTTTTAGGTATCAGCTCGAGCATACACGGTTAGGACTGTCTGCAGTGGTCAGGGCGGGGAGACAGGCAGAGACAGAGAGAGAGATGGAGAGAGAGACTGAGACAGAGAGAGAGACTGAGAGAGACGGAGATGGAGAGAGAGACGGAGACGGAGAGAGAGACGGAGAGGGAGGGAGACAAAAATAGAGAGACAGACTGAGAAGGAGAGAGAGAGACTGAGACGGAGAGAGAGAAAGACGGATACGGAGAGAGAGACGGAGATGGAGAGAGACGGAGAGAGACAGAAATAGAGAGACAGACTGAGTCGGAGAGAGACGGAGAGAGACAGAGAGACAGCGAGAGACGGAGATGGAGAGAGACAGAAATAGAGAGACAGAGACGGAGAAAGAAAGAGAGACGGAGAGAGAGACGGAGAAAGAGAGAGACGCCGAAAGAGACGCCGAAAGAGACGCCGAAAGAGACGCCGAAAGAGACGCCGAAAGAGACGCCGAAAGAGAGAGACACACAGAGGCGGTGAGATGGGCAGAGACAGACAGAGAGACAGACAGAGAGACAGACAGAGAGACAGACAGAGAGACAGACAGAGAGACAGACAGAGAGACAGACAGAGAGACAGAGAGAGAAGAACACAGAGGCGGTGAGACAGGCAGAGACAGAGAGAGTACTTGTCTCTCAGCTTTAGTGTACAGTCTACAGTTGGCTCCATGGTGGAGACTGTCTGCAGTGGTCAGCTTCACTTCGCGAACGCCAGGAGCTGGACTGAACTATTTAAAGTCTGAACGAGGTGATCCTGGCACAGAACCCCATTTTAAGCTCCATAAATCTGTTTTCGGAGGTAGAGGTTCACTGGTTTGCATCTTTGGAGAGTTCAAGACGTCACAGAAATGAACCAGGATCCATTTGATAAAACACAAATATGTCCAGGAGCAGGAAAAGACTTTATAATATGTGATTTTTAAGAAGAGCAGTTCTCAGAAAGATCATTCAAACTCAGGTGGGTTTGAGCGATGAGCTGGAGCGTCTAAAAAGAAGAAACTTGGCAATGTTTTGTATAATTTCAGTTTGATATGGGCCAATTTTGAGCCATGCATTTAAATCTCTTTGACATTTCAGAGTTTTTAAAGCTCCTTTATTACGCCAAATTGTGAGTTTTTTTGTTGTTTCCTCATCAAAAACATACCTGGAGTTGTGTTTTGTTTCTCTGAACGCTTCTGAAAATGCGCTGTTTAAATCCATTTTGTATTTTCTCTTGAGTTTTCAGGCTTAAAATCTTCTTCGTAATTAGCCCTATTTTGGTTGATTGATTCCATATTTTTTTTCTCTAAAACGATCTGCAAAATGGCATCTTGAAAATAAATGATTAAAGATGACTCAAACATGCACAAATTACTCCAAATTCGGGCAACTATAGCATGGTTAAAAGCTCTAAAAAGTCCATTTTGCATAATAAGTCCGCTTTAATATGCACACGCTGTACATTCAGATTTTCTACCTCCAGACGATGTTTTCTTTGCATCTTTTCCAGCTCCACAGATGAATAAATTAGCTTAAAGTGTTTGTGCTGGCCCGGAGGCGCGCTGGAGGAAAAATGTCTGCCTTCCCTTTAGCAGAGTTTGTTTATTTTCCGTCTGTCTTCGTGTGTGTTTTCGCAGCTCTTCCGAAGTGGACGATATGATCCGAAAGTCGACCAACCTGCTACTGACTCGGACCCTCAGCAACTGTCTGCAGTACGGAATCAAGAAGAAGAACGTGGGGCTCGCAGAGGTATAGAAAAAATAACAGTTTGTCATCCCGTCTGTAATTGTACCAGGAGATTGATGAAAGGTCCTGTATTGCACAAATTGACACTTGTGTGCTTTTAATCATGATCTAATGTTGTTACCTGCTCAAAAACAAAAACATATCTGAAGTTGTGTTTTGTTTCATTTACACGTGTTTGAGTAGCCCTTTATTATTAGTCTGTCGACATCTTCAAAGCTCAAAATACTCTACCTTTTTACCTTTAGTTCAGTAGAGATTGGCAATTCTAGGGCTGAAATCATTCAAGGGATTCTAGTGAAGGTATACAGAGTTTAAAAACATAATGGAGCACTTCCTGTATTAGGTGGAGCAGAGTGTTTTCTACTTAAACATGTATGAAGAAACAAAACACAACTCCAAGTGTGTTTGTGATGAGGAAACATTATATCAGAGCAATAGCGCAACATAGGCCCTTTAATATGTTATTTAAAGGTGCATTATGTAACTTCTCTGGTGGAGGGTCCGCCGCCTTCTTGTTTCTATGGACATGTCATTGCTCTGCCTGGAATGTTCCACAGTATGACATTAAACAGCTCTATCTTACATTTATTCAATTACAGGTGGTTTTATAGCTCAAAAATACTGAGAAAAACAGACATTCATACTGTAAGCGGGGTCGCCTGTCCACAGATCTTACGTGTAACTTGGTTTGATTTGGTCTCCATGACGATTGAAAGGTTTAATAGCATACTGTGAAACATTCCAGACAAAGCAATAACACATAAATAAATAAAATTAATAGCTACTTTGCTTCTCTTCTCTAATGCTCCTTCTCCCTCTTTTCTATGTGTAGCTGGTGCAGTTGTTTCATAAACAGATTGTGTATCATTGCTATATCGTGTTAGCCAGGCTGGCGCCACCTAGTGCCTCCGCTCAATTTAAGGGGATAGTTCTGGATTTTTGACATAAATCTTTATGTCATCCCCATGAGCAGTGTCGTGCATCAACACTGACTTACCCCCGACAGCGTCCGGTGAGTCGAGATACTGGCCGTTTTCGGTGCTGATGAAAGTAGTCCGACAAGTTGGCTGGGGACTGTATAATAAAGCGTTTTTCTTCTCAAAGCAATATGTGTTCAAAAGAGTGATACATTTGCATCACAAAACCATCGTCGAATAAAAAGGTAGACCTCATAATCACTTGGCACTATTTTCTTTCCGTTCGTATCACTGCGCGTTGCCGCCAGGTGACAGTCGCGCACGAAATCCATCACTTTGTTCAGTTGTTCGGCAGTGTTTACATGCGCAGACCACCACGACGCGAGAGAGCGAATATGAGAGCTAGAGCCATAAGTATATAAACTTGTATAAGATACATATGAATATACCTAAGAAATGGTGCGAACTCTTGATTCTCCAGGCTGTAAAAACAAAAATCTGGCTGAATCTCCACGCACATGTCACCATTTTCCTGTCATGGACTTTGTGCTGAGGAAACTTTGGCTTCTTGCCTTTGGCTTCAATGTGGAAACCAAACCAGGTAAGAACGAAGAAGTGCCGCTATGTTTACAAGAGAACAGACTCAAGAATCAGATGTAACTCTGTGTGCAGTAAATCACTCAGTGTCATATCACCAGTGAAGCTTCTACAAAACATAACTTTATAATCGACTGTTATTACTATTGTAAATGTCTCGTACACTATTGGTAGCAACTATACGTGGACGTGTGGATGATTCCATGTTTCTATTAGTCGTCCATGCTTCAGTCACAGTGGAGGCTCTATGTTCACTGTATATGAGTTTATAAATGACGTGATGGTGAGTGTCACTCGGTCTCTCATGGCTTCAGCTTCAACTTGTACCACTTCTCTGTCTCTCTTCTCTCTCTGCTCGTTCTAACTCCATCTGGTGAATTTCGGCATCAGTATATTCAGGTTCACAAAGATCTCCCCTTGGCTTTGTGGTAAAGGCAAAGTCTTTATTGTCAGTGTCGTAATCAGACATGTTGTCGCTAACATTCCGAGCAGTAAACAAAGTGAACCAGGCGCGGCTGTCACCTGGCGGCAGCGCGCAGTGATACGGACGGAAAGAAAATAGTGCCAAGCGATAATGAGGTGTGACTTTTTTGGCGACGATGGTTTTGTGATGCAAATGTATCACTCTTTTGAACACATATTGTTTTGAGAAGAAAAACGTTTTATTATACAGTCACCAGCCAACTTGCCGGACTACTTTCGTCAGCACATAAAACGGACAGTATCTCGGCTCACCGGACGCTGTCAGTGTTGATGCACGACACTGCTCATCACAGGGATGACATACAGATTTACGTCAAAAATCCAGAACTATCCCTTTAACTTCTCTCCAGGGACTAAGTCAGGAATCAGAATACACTAGACGATTTGCAAGAACCCCGGAAGTTGTAGACCGCGCACCAGCCAATCAGCTAAGAGCTGACCTCAAACTCAAGCCCCTGTCTGTGTCCCTTTTGTGGTACAGCACAACAGTAAACAAAGCGTCGAGATGGATGTAGACAAAGACAGACATTCTGTGTTGGTAACGATTCCCAAGATCAAGGATTTTCACTCTCTGTGTTTGCTGTTGTGCTGACAATTACTTGGACACTACTGAGTGTTTCGGGTGGCGCATTACATACATCATGACCAAATAGCAGCGGTTGGGTAAATAAAAAAAGTACCCGCCTACCGTTGTGCGAACAAATCCTTAATGCTGCGAGGTCAGATGGTTTCCACAAAGTGAACTATTGACTCCTTACCTTCTCTTTATCTCTCTCTCTCCTTCTCCTCTCTTCTTCTCTTGTGTGTGTAGCTGGTTCAGTTGATCATAAACAGCACTCACCTGGAGTACAGCTGTCACTTCCTGGAGGAGTTCATCTCAAACATCACCAACGTTCCTCTAGACGCCGTCAGCGCCACCAAACTCTACGGGCCCTCCACCTTCAAGGTACAAACACAAACCAGCACATGTATCAGAGGTTGCTTTTCACGTTTTAGAATTGTAGATGGTAGATTTACTGTTTTTGAAAAGAAAACCCCAAACTCCTGATCCACATACGTCGAGTCTTTTCACATAGGCCTTAAATAATCATGAAAAATAAAATGATAAGAGAGTTGTTGTATTCCATAACCAAACCCATTTCTGTAATTTTTTTTCTTTATTGTCCTTGGTTGCGATATGACTCTTTTCTAATTTGAGAAATCCGAGTATCCACTTTCTGAAGCGATTGTGATCAAATAATTTCACTTTATGCTTTCAAGGAAGATCTGGAACTTTCTGTCAGAATTAGTTTTTGAACCCATCCTTTTGAATGTTGTAAATGTTATCAAACGTACTAGTTCAGACCTCAAGTGTCATGGATTTCAGCTGACAGCTTTTGAGCACTTTTGACCGTTCATATCATTTTTTGTCTCCAATTACGTCACAATGTAACAGAGGGAGGACCCAAAATGCAGGACTGCTGTTAAAATTCTTTCAAAGTTCAACAAAGAATGACCAAAAATCCCAAAATAAAAACTGACAATGACAAGACACTGAGAGTGACAATGGACCAACAAAGGGCAAAGGTGGAACACATTAGTAGACAGGACAAATATCAAAATAAAACACCAAGGGCATACTACACTAAAGGAATAAGAAACACCAAAATATGCAAAAACAATGACGACATAACATGAGCCATGACATATTGTTTATATGATGTTCCTTCAAGGTGCGTGTATCAGAATCGTCAAGAGGTTCTGGTCATGTTTAAAAATTTCAGATGGATATAACTATGGGAGATTTACTGTTACTGTTAGATGAACTGTTACTTGAAAAGAAATCACCAAACTTCTGATCCACAAATGTTGAGCCGTATCTTTTTATTTATTTGGGATCTACTCCATAAACTTTTCATATTAATCTTGCGTCTGAGTCCTTTCGCCTGACAACACTCACGTCTTTGGGGCTGAATAATGGCACCACTTTCTGGCGCTGTTGTGATAAAATAATTTTGCTTTCGCCAATTTATGCTTTCCGAGAGGATATGGAAGTTTGTCAGTTTTAGTGTTTAAACGCAACCTTCTGAGTGTTAAAAGTGGTGTTATTCCGATACCATTTTTTTGGGGATCTGATCCGATACTTGGCCTTAGTGTACTCGCCGATACCGATACCAGTCCGATATCGCATAATGTGAAGAAGTACTGCAACAAAATTGAGTAACCTACAAGAGCAATAAATAAATCTACTTAAAGGGTTTCTCTGAAGAAAATCTGTGGAATAAATGAGTTTTTGAGAACTAAGCGTAAAGAGTCAAACATATAATGATTTTGACCATAAGTTGTGCAAATTTAAGCTAGGGATGTCCCGATCACATTTTTTGCCTCAGAGTCATTTGATTTTGAGTATCTGCCGATACTCAAGTCCCAATCCGATACTTGTATAAAAATTATGAAATGAACTAAGAGCAAAGGATAAGATCCAGGTTGTGGGGGGATCAGATTGTGTTGATTTCATGTCTACTATTTGGGCTGAACTTGGTGTGAAAAATCAAATGTTCAAAACTTTAATTTTAGTAACTTTTCTAACCATGCACCATCACTGCTGAAAATCTTGACTTTTCACAGTCTGGTCTTGGAATGTGTAACTTAATATATTTAATGAACTGGACAAAAGAGGAACCAGACCAGAATCAGATCAGACCTGAGACTAGACTCTGCACAATTTACAGTTTGTATATCTGATGTTATATGGAGGCATGTGCATAATATTTTAAACATTTAGGCCAGTCTATGAAATCCAAATAATACAAAATCTTACCAAATATAAACAAGATGACAGAAGCTCCACAGTCTCTGTCCCCCGGCTGCCCCCACTCCCCCACATCCACAAACAGAGGAGTGCGCACTGCAACATCGGTCCCACCGCTCAATAGATACTTCATGCCGCTTTTCCCACCCTCCCTGCCAAAAGCGCCAGGTCCGCTACGCAACATGCAAACAAACACCGCCATGCGACGACGCTATCGGCCGCGTAGGTGTGAACACGGGCCATAGAACCACAGGTAACAGCGCCCGAGCATGACACAGCCCAAAAGTCCTAACACGAGTGTGTCTCTAGTACAGTAGGTGCCGGGGCAGATAGCCGCGCTAACTGGACGTCCCAGAGCAAATCCCGTGCCTCAGTTAAAAAATATAAGAAACCACTGACTTCCACGTTAGAAAACTGTGGTGCCCAATGGGAGCTGATGTCGCCATAAACGTCATCAAGAATGGAGTCTGGAAAATAAGCAATGAAAGCTTGCTCAAACATGCACAAATCACTCCAAATACAACTTCAAGAGGGTAAATGAGAAAAGGAAACAACAGCATATTTAAAATATCTGAAAATCCATTTTGCACAATAGGTCTGCTTTAAGAAAACTTTTCAGACCAAAGCTTTTTTTTCTTCTCTTCTTCCAGGACGCTTGTCACGCGGCCGAGGCGGAGATCTACACGAGTCTGAACGCAAAGATCGATCAGTTCCTTCAGCTGGCGGACTATGATTGGCTGGCTCCTGTGCCTGGGGGCGGGGCTTCTGACGTCAGTGATTACCTCATCGACCTCCTCGCGTTTTTGAGGAGCACCTTTAGCGTCTTCACCAACCTCCCTGTGAGTACTACTGCTATGAATACTACTACAAAATATGACTACTACTACTACTGCTACTAATATTCTGCGTGAACTAGCCTTCAGTAAGGAGGCTGTGGGTTCGACTCCTGATTTCTGGAGTGCGCATGACCTTCCTGTATTACCGTGGCAGGGTGGTTAGCCTTCGTCCTCTCAGTAAGGAGGTTGTGGGTTAAACTCCTGAACTGGGGAATCTAAAGTAGTGATGGGTATGATTAGTTGATTAATCGATAATTCATCATAAAGAATTTCATTGATTACTTTAATTTTAATTGACAAACCGAATATAGGTTGCCGTGTGTAGCGAGATCAAACGTCCGTGTCCGGGGACAAACAGGGGTCCGTACATGTAGCTCTGTGCACTCAGAAGGAGCGAGCAGACATAGACAGTCGGTCAGTCTGCAATGTGCCGAAGCGCCAATGCGTATTTAACGAAATTCCAAGCTTTCCGTTCCAGTCGGGACAAGTGTGAGTCCATGTGCACAGTGTATAAAGCAGCACATATGTTTCAGTGTCCAGTGGGAAAAAGTTTTACCAGGTGAGAGTCGCTCAATGTCGATGACGAGTCCCCACCTCCCTCCCCCCATACGGTGTCCTGGTTTTGACAAACACAAATCTGGTCACACTAACCTGTATTCACCTGAGTCATGTCTTTTAATCCGACAGAAGTTGAACCGCATCAGTGACACAAGAGCTTTTTTTTTTCTTTGCTTAGTTTATGCAAATTAGCCATGTGGTTTTAAGTTTAGTTTCTGTGAGAGTTGCGCAAAACTGCTTTAAACACATTATAATGTCAAACGGCTGATGTGGCTCTAGAGTGGTGATGGTTTATATGTTGTAAAGTTGAATTTATTTATGCAGATTAGTAGTGCAGATAGTAATAATAATGATAATAATTTTAATATAAAAACGTTAATGATTAATCCATAATCGATCGTTAATTCTCCCGACGATCAATTATGAAAATTTTATCAAATGGCCATCTAAAGGTTCCATGTTCAGTTGAGGTGAGAGTTAGAGTCTTTGCTTATATATGTTTTTTTTAAAGGCCCCATATTACACTAAAACTTTGCTGGAGTTGTGTTTTGTTTCATTCACACATGTTTAACTCACAAACCCTACATATTTAGGCTAAGTTCTTCTCTCAAACTGAAAACACTCCAACTTGTGATGTCATGTGGTAATTAGGGGTGTCAAATTATCGCGTTAATTGCGATTAATTAATTACAGTCATATTTAGCGCGTTATGTTTTTTAATCGCGTTAATCTCATTTTTAATCTCTAATTTAACTGTTTCTGTATGTGAGTTGCTTTATTATAAAATCAGTTTTTATGTGTTGTTGTCCCAACAACACACACACAAAAAAAACACATTTATAAATTTTTTTATTTCGGTAATTCCACTCATTGCCGGAAACCCACACAAAACGCGTGCAGTAAGAGCGATGTAAACGTCATGTTAACGTTGGCGGCGTCAGTCGCACAATGGACGAGGTGGAAGAGCCAGTAGAACAGAGCAGCAGTGCACAGGGAAAAACACATTCGTGTCTTGGAAATTCTTCTCCCGACGTGAAATATAAAAGAAAATAACAAATATAAAATCGCCTACAACTTAAATGTCACTGGTGAAAACAACCTGCATAGACTCATGATGTCTGCACTACTGTCCTATACACAAACACACACAAACACACACACACACACACACAAACACACACAAACACACACAAACACACACAAACACAAACACACACACACAAACACACACAAACACACAAAAAACACACACACAAACACACACAAACACACACACACACACAAACACACACACACACAAACACACACAAACACACACAAAACACACACAACACACACAAACACACACCAACACACAACACACACACACACAAACACACACAAACACACACAAACACACACACACACAACACAACACACAAAACACACACAAAACACACACAAACACACACACAAATACACACAAACACACACAAACACACACAAACACAACACAAACACACACCAAAAACACACACAAACACACACAACACACAACACAACACACACAACACACACACACACACACACACAAACACACACAAACACACACACACGCAAACACACACACACAAGCACAAACAAAACACACACACACACGCAAACACACGCAAACACACACAAACACACACACACAAACACAAACAAACACACACAAACACACACACACAAACACAAAGAAACACACAAACACAAACACCTTCATCATCGTCATTAACCTGAGAACGCGCGGACCACGTTTCCTTCCGTAGTTCCGTAGTACGTTTTCTCGCGTACGCTGCGTAAACCGCGCTTCCTCCTGTGCGCCTCTAAACCAGAACTAACACCAAGACTAAAACCGGGACTAACCCAGTCCAGGACTAAACCCAGACTAAACCAGGACTAAACCAGAACTAAAACCAGGTCTAAACCAGGACTAAACCAGGACTAAACCAGGACTAAACCAGGACTAAAACAGGACTAAACCAGGACTAAAACCAGGACTAAAACCAGGACTAAAACCAGGACTAAAACAGGTCTAAAACAGGTCTAAACCAGGTCTAAACCAGGACTAAACCCAGGACTAAACCAGAACTAAAACCAGAACTAAAACCAGGTCTAAACCAGGTCTAAACCAGGACTAAACCAGGACTAAAACCAGATCTAATCCAGGACTAAACCAGGACTAAAACCAGATCTAAACCAGGACTAAACCAGGACTAAACCAGAACTAAACCAGAACTAAAACCAGAACTAAAACCAGGTCTAAACCAGGACTAAACCAGGACTAAACCAGGACTAAACCAGAACTAAACCAGAACTAAACCAGAACTAAACCAGAAGTAACACCAGGACTAAAACCAGGACTAACCCATTCCAGGACTAAACTAGGACTAAAGCAGGTCTAAAACCAGGACTAAAGCCAGTGATGTCATACATAAAGCATTTCTCTATCAATAATATTTTTTATATGGTTAAGGAAAGACTGGACTTTTTATTGTCTTTAAGTAGACAAAAGTTATTATGTTCAGATTTCCTCGTCTTTGCTTCTTTACAGCAAACAGTTTCTTATTCATGGAGACTTGGGCTCAACAGACAATTTGAAGAGAACAAACAAGAACAACATTTGCAGGATGTGGTTGTTACATTCATGTAGTTTTAAAAAGCATGACAATATCAAGTAATCCAAAGTATTCAGATTACATTACTCACTTAAGTAATTAAATGGATTACATTACAAACTACATTTTGGGATATGCAATCTGTAATCTGTAGGGGAATACATTTTAAAAGTAAACTCCCCAACACTGCAGATTAGTAATAGTAATAATAATGATGATACTGTGGAATGTAAGTGACTGCATCTGTTAAAGTTTGTTAAACAATAAATGACTTTATAAAGTCACTTTTTTTTGTTCTATATCAGTCTTTTGATCTGCCACAATAATGTAATAATGAATTTAAATGAAAATACCTCAAGTTGAAGGCTTTTCTCAGCAATTTTTAGGTGAGATTAAAATGAGATTAATTAGATTAATTAATTAAGATCATAATTAATTATTCTCTCAATTTTTTTAATCGCATGACAGCACTAGTGGTAATACACTGTTTTTAAACTCCACACATCTTCACTAGAATCATTTGGATCATTTCAGCTCTGGAATTGCCAATCTCTGCTGAACTAAAAGGTAAAATGTAGCTGTTAACTTGAAAATGACCACTTCATGACATAATGTGGAACAATGTGGAACAGAACACTTTGGAGATGTAGACAGACTAATCATCAAGAGTTATTCAAACATGTGAGAATGAAACCAAGCACCACTCTAGGTCTGTTTTTAGGAGCTAACAACATTATAACATGATTTCAATCTCACAAGAATCCATTTTGTGTAATATAGGACCTCTGAAACATCTCCAGGTTTTCCTAGTTGACTTTCTCTCGTCCTTATTTGTCTGTTTAAACCTCCGTTGCATAAGTGCGCCCCATAGCCGCCTGCTTGTCTTCGCGCTGGTGTTGACGTTAGCATGGCGCGCTGACGGATTAGCTTTAGCGGGTCATGGTTGGAGCTTGTTAGCGTTGGTTAACATGGGGCTCCGTAAGCTCCTTAAGCGGTCACCAGGGCCAGGATTACACTCTGAGCAGGATATTGACTCCATTGGGCCAAGCTAAGCACATTATTCACTCAACGTCGTGAATTGTACAATGGGACTACTGCAGCTATTGTTTCTGCTCAGGTTTTTGTCATCGTCTTTCATGTCGAAGTCTGTCGGTGGTCTGATTCCTGTTGCTGTTGTGTTCTTGAACAAGACACTTCTCCTGCCTTCCCTATGTTTTCGGTGGACAGTCAGAAATAGTGTTGATCCTAAAATTTCAAGTTCTATTTGGATACTAAGAATAGACTTGCTGCGTTCCAAATAGAAAATAAGCATGGGTACGACATGGTTCCTTCGAGCTCTGGTTGCAGTTGACTTCTATTGAAAAACCGTCACCCTTCTCTGTAACTGCTGCTGTTAGACTCATCATTATGGTCTTTAATTTCGCTATTTTGTCCCTAAATCAAGATATGAACATGAATAGACCTTTTTCACAACGGCCCGACAAAACCAAAAATTTAATTCCGGTTAATGTGGCAAAATTTCTGTGGACATGTCTTGCGTATTTTTCACCAGCTTCATAAATCTGCCCTATCACCAAATATTCATCCAACAAAGTCCACAAAGGATAAACATTCTAACATGAAGAATTTAGCCACAACTATTGAGGTAAGAAAGACGAAAACGTAAAGGTGAACGACGACGACGCATTAGTGAACTACTGAGCAAAACTAAGGTTATGGTCATGAATAAAACAGCAATAACATGTTAACTCCAATTGATTCTACAATTAAACTTAATCGATTTCATGATAGATTTGTGCAGTTCGA